TTGACTGGCTTAGGAGGAGCCAAGAGCACAGCAAATATGTTGGTCCACCTCTAGGCAAATTTTTGATTTCTCTGTAAGACTATGAGTAGAACTAGAGGTCAGCTGGTTTTGAGGACACATTGTGCAGCACTGGGGGAAAGCAGAAAGGGGAATGATGATGGATGAGAAAAAAGGGCACATAGTGAAGCAGTAAGTATGGCTACAGTGTTATTCTGAATTACCATGTGATGCCATGGAGCCATTTATAATCAGACCTGAATATGTCCCTGACCAGGTAAGATTACACTGAAAGAAATAATTAGTTCAGGTAGTTTCAAAAGAAACCAATTGATACTTTGAGATGAGGAAAGACTGTTCTCCTGCATATACTGAACTACTTGTTATTTCTGTGTGAGCATTAAAGTTCCCAGGGTGTGTATGTGTATATAGTGACAATTCATTTATATTTCTCTATATATGTTTATTTATATGTCTCTTTTCATGGTCAGTTGAATTCACTGGTTATTTGTGAGACTATAATACGTCTTGGGTGTTCTGGCTAAACTGATGCTGCCAAAATTGTCAGCAAAAAGACCGGAAAAGCTGATGAACCCTAAACTTTTCCCCAAACAACTGCTCTGTTGTTTCTCCAGGATATAGAAGAGGCAGAAAGCCCAAACAAGAGGAGTGGTAGGAAACTAAGGAGGAAGAACAGAAATTGCTGTCTGATTTGGATTCCACAAACTGCTGTGTTTAATCTTTTAGAGACCCTATAACAATAATCCATGCTAACTAGCATTTTAGGAGTTTAAAGAGATTTGTTCTATAAAGGAAAAATAATAAAAACTTCATTTTAGTGCTTTGCTTATTCAGTAGTTTCTTGCTTTCATTTTGCTTAGGCATTTAATGTCTTTATAAATTGTACAGGTAACATTTTCAGAAACAGCTAAATGCCATTTTTGAAAGTTATTTTCTTAGACTAAGATCTCCAAAGGTGGGTACAAACTAACTCCTAACAGTTTTAATGTGAACAAGCTGCAGAAACAGCACTTCAATTTCTCAGGACTGGTGTCACTTTTCCAAACGGGACTTGTGCTAAGAGCTGGTTGGTATTTTTAACTAGTATGCCATATAATTAAATAACTAAGTATATGTATAAAAATAAATACTGCCATGGATAATTCTTATTCCCCTTTGTGGGTTTGTCAGACCCACAGGAACAGCACTGTGGTTTGTGGGCTCTTCTCCTAGCAACTCCTATTAACGTCAGAATTACTTGGGCAGCTGAATCTTCATATCCCACACCAAGAGTTTACTATTTGGCACCAGTTTATGTGTAGATTTCATATGCCCATATCTCTCTGGTTGTATGCACCAGGTTTACTTCAGTTTCTTGTCATCTTACAACCACTTTTACTAACAGCTTTATGCTATTACTTACTGACCTTCTCTGCTGTAGTTCTTTGTATTTGGAAAAAAAAAAAAAGGATGGAGATATGGTCTCTGCCCCAAGTAGCTTATAATTAAAACAAGATCAGCATTATAGAAACATGTATTTTAGATGGCTTCTAACTGGATGGTCTGTTTAGTTTTGTTTTGACGTATTGTATGAAGCAGCATTTAACAGATGTTGGGAAATTAGTTCTCTAAGCTTCTATTATAAACATACAGCAGAGATGCATGTGTATGAATTAATTTCATCATTGAATGTGGGTATTAATGTCATCGGGCATTTTTAAATGTTTGTGCTTATTCTACTGTTCCTTGAGCCCTCCTTGCCAAAAAATATAGAAACTTCTCGAGAGAAAGTGCCTCCGTTGTAGCAATGCTTTTTAGCACTGTACTGATGAGTCTCTTCTGTTGAGTGAAAGATGTTGCCTTGTAAAAGCCCAGCAGAGAAGAAAAAAAAGTGTTAACTGTTTCATTAAATACCTTCTATACACAGTGTTGACCAAAGAAAACCCAAAAAACCCACCAAAACCGAGGGGTCTCCCTTGGTCTTTATGCCACGTTGTCCCACTTATTATAAGTAATGCTAACTTATCATGCAAATCCTGTAGTTGATATTCTTACAGCTGCTCATATCTCTGCTGAAATAGCACACATTCAACAAGGCGACATCTTCCCACTCCTCCTCTTAGCTGGGAGAATTCAGTGTTGAGGATTAGATTCCCTTTTACAGCTTCCAGGATGAAGTCAAACCAGCATGAAGGGGGGAGCTGGCAAAGCAAGGCTTACCCCTCTCTGTGCTGTATATGGGCAAAGAAATAAGGCAGGTCAGGCAGAGAATGGAGGCAAGACCTGGGACAAAGCCTAAACCAGAACAGAATTAGAGGGGAAGCGTAGCTGACAAAATTACTTAGAAATGTCATAATTGCCACTTGTATTTAATGTATTTTGCATTTCACATCTGTATCTTTCTTATTTTGTGTCTCCCTTAGTTTAGTTTTCATACATGAAAGTCTTAAGTGTTTCTAAAGCAACAGCTATGATTTTAAAAGATCATTTCACACCCACCCCACTCAAATTACAATAGCCATGCAGTATTAATTTAGGGTGAGTGGGCACAGATGTTATCAAAATCACCCATTTACCTGCCAACTCCACGAAATTTTCCAGTGCTTGGATATTTTCTTCCACTGCTGTGTGGAATTTTATTGTAATGGTCTCTCTGCTTTTTCTTTTTGTGCCTTTTTTTTCCCCTCAGATCTTTTATCCAGTTACTAAACCTGCATATGGCTTCCTCCTCTATCAGCTGTCTGAGCTAAAACAATACTTCATGGCAATCACAGCAAAGAAAAGCAGCCTCTGAAGATACTGATGTGATTAGGTGTGAGGCCAGAGACTTGTGCTGAGTGCTAGAAGAGCACTTTATAACCACAGTAAATCAGTAAGTTTGGGCTAGACAACATGGCAGAGGAGAAGTGATGTGATGTGAAACATGAGTTGGGGAAGAATGCAAAAGAGAGGGAAGCGAAAAGACAGATTTAAAACTGGATTTTCATTTTCTGGTGTTACCAATGTGTGAGTCAAATAATCAGCTTTTCTTTGTTGACACTTCCTTAGTTCACTGTTGTGCAGCTAACACACATCTGCATAGCAAAACACGTGCAGATGTGAGTGCTCTCTGCACCTCAGGCCTGTGAAAACCTATATTAACACAGCACTAAATCTGAACTAATGCACCCTGTCCCTCAGCAAGGACTAGCTTCATGCTAACAGCTTTTGAGCTGCCTGGAATGGAGGCAGAGTGTGTTTTATCTTCCCACAATGGACTTTGTGGAGCTATCCATATTAGGCCTAATTTGGAAGAGGCATTAAAAGCTTTCTTGATACGTGACTTTGCCATATACTGACAAAAAGCAAAGTGCATTGCAAACGAGGCGAACACCACTGCCCATATGTCATGTTATGCAGTAGTAGAATGGGAAAAAGCTGCCCAAATGTCAGGTTTGGAGGATGGTTCAGGTCTCCATTGCCCAATCCACCACATATACTGTGTCTCTAACTGGCAATTGCAGGATTGTTTAGATTCTGCACTAATATTCAATCCCAAAATTCTCTATATTAAATCCTGTGTTTATAAATAAATGTCCACAATGGGCAAATTAGAATAACTGCAGTACATTCTACACAGCCTGATTTTTTTCCTAGTTTAAAATCTGCAAAATCAAAGTAGAATTATGTCAATCTGTTGTGAAAATGTGCATTATCTTAATTTCTGTAAGTTGGAGTAAGCAATAACAGTGCTTGTACAAACATATGCTTTGCTTGTCACATATCAAGTTTCATATCTTTACATAGTGTGAAAGAAAAATCTCCTAAAGATAATTTCCTCTAAGTATGTTTTGGTTACAGATTACTTAGTGTTCCAACTAGTTTAAAGAAGTTGATTGTATGCAATACATGATGTTCTGAGGGGCTTTGTCTACATTTATTGCTTGACTTTATTTTCCAAAACCATGATATAACATTAATGACATCTCCTAGCCCAGCATTCAAGCCTGTTTTAACTTGGCTAGCTTCTGTGGCGTTGTATCAGACACATTTTTTTAAATATGTCAGGTTGTTTTACACATGTAGCAACAATTGTGCTGTTTAGAAAAACGTGGTGCCATCGTGTGGACAATATTAAGAAGTGTAAAAAACAATTTTTAAAAGAAAAATTGGGAAACAGATAAATATCTGTATTCCTTATCAGTGAATCAGGTGAATTATAAATACATTTTATATGATACAAGAAGTTATGCACAAATCTGTGGGTTTAACACGACGAGTGGAATCAGGAATTATGGATTCAATCCTGTTTATTTTCCAGCAGCTCAGAAAGTCCTTCCCAATGAGCACAGAGTGATCAAAACACAGATGAGAGTCTACAAGCCACTTTTAATCAGCACCTAATTCCAACATTACCTGCTTTTGTATTCATTTCTGTATCTGTTTATCTCTCTGGTTTTCCTCTAAGACTTTACACAACTTGTTTTTGTACAGCCTGTATTGCTTTCCTTCCACACAAATACACACACAAACACTCTTATCCATAACATTAGCCAGCCAAGGCACTCTGCCCACACAGTTCTCATTCCTGCATGAGTTCACATGAAGCTATGTTTCAGAAAGGGTTTTGGTTTAAGGCCTCTTGTTTCTTACATTTCACTCAGAGGAAAGAGATTTAGCCAGAGCTGAAATAGCTGTATCTAATACCAGTAAAAGTCCACAATGGCCAAATTAGAAACACTGCAGTGTACTTATGCAGTTACAGTTTTACTAGTTTAATGCCTACAAAATATAAGCAGATTTATTTCAATCTGTTGTGAAAATGTGCAGAATTTTAACTTCTGAAAGTTGGAGGATTAAAAGGGCCTCTACAGAAACATGCATTATTTGCCACACATCAGGTTACATATCTCTGCACGAAAAGGGAAAGAGTAAGTTCCTAAGGCTACTTCAAGATATTTTAGATCTGTAAAGGTTTGCACACAAGGAGTGTTATTCAAAAACTGTCCTCTGCAGTGCACTGCACCAAAGCAAACCTGCATGTCACAGCACCCTAATGTCTCCTGTTCTGAGATCCTGTATGCCAAGTGCTCATTAGCTGATGCTGCAGTCTGCTGATTTTATTTAAATTGAATAAAGGTAAGAACTTTTTAAGCCTTGCCGGTGGGTTTTAAACAGATTATTTGGAAATAGAGCTTGAAGATATATTTGGATCAGTCCTATCTTTTGTGAATGTTTAGTGGGTTTGTTTTGGTGAAACTTCAAAAGTTTTATTTGACCTTTACGATCACTGAAGATCTTTGGAATCTTTTGAGAATGGAGCTCTACATAGTATTTTACTCGAGTATTCACTTACTTTGTGCTCAAAGAGCCAGCTCATGTGGTACAGTAAGAGATGGAATATGTATACATGTGAGTTAACTAAATGGATATAATGGAATGTCATACATTAAAAGATTCTCTGTGGTGCTGCTTAAACTTCCAGATAAAGACAGGTAACTATGAAATAATGACTTCTGTTTTCCAAGTCTTTGCATCTTATGCTTGATTGATTTTGTTGTTTAAGAAAAATGTGAGCTTCAGCTGAAATTTTTACTCTTTTAAGGCAACATTTTAATGTGGATTCTCTAGTGTCAAATTAGGTAGAAACAATCTTTTTCTTACTGGATAAACTTACAGTGACTCTTATTTGTTTTCTGCTTTGGCATTTATTTTCATGAAACTTCTGGGTGCCTAATTTTCTTTGACAATTTTATCTTGCTCTCAAACTTGTTAGAAATTATTACAGATTGAAAAATGCTGTGAGTGAGAGGTAAATGGAATATGGTGATGTATGGAAAAGGCTGTCAGAAGTCTCTAGTCTCTAGGACCATGTTTAAGTTCTTGATTACTTGATATTTAGGTATTTAGAATACATGGACAAGCATAGAAAGCTCAATTTATATCCATAAATCAGAAGCCAATCTCAAGATGAAGAAATCTCACTTATGATTTAATAATTGGCAAAATTGTGCTAGACAGAGTGGGGAACAAGCTAAACAACCAGCTTTCTTTCTGATGAACTTTAAATGTCAAAGTATCCCATTACAGCTTTGTATGTGTTTGGTTGTCAATGTTTTGGAAACTGTATGCTCACTCTTCTAAAAAGTGTGACACGTGTTTGGTTTTGGAAGAATTGGTTAAATATATCCTGAAAGCCAGTAATTTAATGTAAATCTATTAGATTTCCTGGATTATGGCATCTTTTGCTCTCAGTGAAAGTGGAAATGGGAAAATGAACCCTTCCTGATTCACAAATTTTTGATGTGTGGTTCCTCAAATGTTAGTAGTTTTTTTGCCCACTGTATAACCTTGATCAGTTAATAAGATCATGCAATATTACTAATGGTAGACTTTCTTTTCCATTTTTAAAACAAACATCTCTAAAACTAAAATCTAAACAGCAAAAAAATAAAAATATCAAGAATCAGAGTCTCATCAACCTCTTATTGGATGTAGTCTTGGATTTTTATATTCTCTTCATGGAAGTTCTTCATTCTTATACCCATCTGGGTGAGGTTTGGGTCTATCAATCATTGTACCACCTTCAGCACCAGGATTTCCTGTAATTATTTCCCAGTAATTCTTATATTCTTCAACTTTGTGGGAGTCCAGGTAATTATGACAAACAACTTCACATTCTTTTCCAAAATAAGACCTGCAAAGTCAAAAAAAAAGGGGGGGGAGATAGGCATGGAGAATTCATATATATATACACAAATTCAGAAAATCTTCATTATTTGTGAATTGTTCAAGATTTCCTCATGTTTCTCCTGTCTTGTTCAGCAATATCACCACATGCTTCTAAATATCAGATCCTTACAAGAAACACAATATCCCGCTTTGTTTCTTGCGAATAATTTAGGAATTTGAAATCCAAGAGAAATGCCATCTTTCTAGCTTCAGAGGGAAAAGGAGCCCCATCAGTATAAGGCAGTGATGCACCAACTCAGTATGTACAAACTGTTTAGGTCCCCATCCTCATTTCTCTCTGACTGAGGAAGACTCTGCCTACTTTATAACTGTTTCAGCCTCAAACTTTCAGACCTTGTTTCATCTTCAAATACTTGATTCAAATTCTTAGTCAGGTCTTGATCAGAAGTTAATGGGAAACATTGGTATACTCTTTAGCAGTGCTTAATCAATATTAATTTAATGTATACATATTAACTTGAATTGTTGGATTAACTTCAATTTGTTGAGAGATTGATTCAGATGGACAGAAGCAAAACAAGTAAGTCTGAGACAACTGTCTGCAGCAACACAGTGCACACATCACAGTCCAGAAATAAAATAAGGGAAAGGAGAATGGTATTCTGCATTCTTTCCCATTTCCTCAGTGTGTTCCTAAATCACCTGTCTTGCTTCTTACAGTAATTCCTGATGCTGGCACATCATTATGCACAACCCTGCCAGTTATAAATTATTCTTACCATACACAAAAGTTCCTTGGAATGGCTAAGTTCCGATTAGTATAGCAATGAGTAATTAGAATTTTAGTGTTTGCCTGGAAAAAAAAAAAAAACACAAGGGAAGACACTTGGCAAATATTTTTATACCAATACTGTGAAAAAAGACTGTCTTTAACAAATAGATCATTTTGACTGTGTTTATTAGTGAGCTGATTCATGCAGATGAGTCTCAGTTCAAGGCTGTGGAGGAATATTTGTGATATTTTGCTGTACAGCCAACACTTCAGGAAGCCTAGCAGTTATCTAGTACAAGAAAGTACTGTATTAACAAAAGGTTAAAAACATTTGGAAAAACATCCACTTATTCAGATGCCTTGAGATTTTTTTTTTAATAATTTTAAATTTAATGTACAGGAGCTCTTATTTAATCAGAGTTCCTAACATTGGAAATGAATTTTAGTACCTCAAAGTCCTGAAAAACAGGTAAGTACTGCATCCTCACAACATGATGTCAAGGTTTGAAAATTTCTGATGGGAAAAACTGAACAAGTCAACCTCAAAATGAACACCAGAACTAAATATTTGTATAAGCAGACTCCCTAATCAGAGACTGTTCCTTCCCTCTACTGCTTCCTAGAATTAGAGGTCAGAAACGGCAAAAGGGAATATGTGGATAAACTACTTATTTTTTCTAAGTACTTCATCTATTATTTCAATTAAATTTTCAAAACACTTCCTACAGTTTTAATTTCTTACAGGAACTGGAAATCCTTCGTATTCAAGACGCAGCTGTGGGTCCAGGAAGGCAGCTTGCCAGCAAGTCAGATAGGAATCCTCACCTGTCAAAAATACCGGCTGAAGGCGAGATTTTTTAGCAAATGCTGTGAATGTTTTGTGGTCACTTCCTAGATAAAACTGTGAATAAAACCATATGTTTAGGACAGTATCAATATAAAAGAAACAAGATATGTGATTTTAAAACATATTTTTGAACACAAAACCTTTTCTCTTGGCTCCTGACAAATCAGTCTGCCCAGCTAAAGCTATGCAGCCATAGCACAGATTCTGTTCTGTTGAAAAACTCATTAAGTAGCTATTCTATAGGCAGACTAGTGAATACAAATTTAAAATTGAATTTATATTTCAAATATTTTATCTCACCAAAGTGGTTGTTGAGAAGGAAAACTTTTCCAAAGTTGTGGTGATATATTTTGAGTGCATATGTAACATGTACTGCCTTCTTTGCTTTTAACTTACAGGGGGAAACAATGTTAACGTTTAATAGAAATCTGCTCCCTCAGAACGATAGAATAGTACATGATTTCATATACCTACTACATATTATCTTCACAAGAAATGAAATCTTCTCATTTTGGAGTTGTTCAAAGGTGTGTGTGGGGGGGGAAAATCTTCCATATGAATTCTTTCATGATTCACAAGCTAATTTTGATTTCCTTTTTTCTTTTACTTTTTAAGGTCTCCTTTATCCAGTACTTCTGGCTGACAACCCCCTTGGCCTGCACATCAGACCTCAGGCAAGTTGCATAAACTTTCTAAATAGGTATTTCTTATCTTGATATATGCATGACTCTGAATCTGTCCTGCAAAGCCAAGATGTTGAACCACTGTACAGTTTCATATATCTATATTTAGAGACTGATTCAATGCATACTATCAGAATATTCATTTGCAACTTTATTGCCTTACCATTGTGTCAGAAATGCCTCCTGTTGTCCCAAGAAGAAAGTTTTGCCCAAACCTAAGTGGTTCACCCACTCCACTTCCATCAGCACTGTTAAAATTGTAAAAATGAAAAAATATGCATTGAAATAATCAATTTTACTATTATTGGGGGTGTGTGTCTGTTTTAGTCTACAGTTAAGCCTTTTATATTAAGTTGACCTTTTAAAATAGGTAAAATATTTTAACCTAAGGAAGAACCTTCACCTATTGAGCAGGACCCTGTTCTTCTGTTTCTTGTCCCACAGACAATGGCAATTAGATATATATTTGAGGGAGAGAATATGCTGTTTTCTTAGGGTTTTTTAGAATAACAGAAAAATGTCCATTTCATGGAAAGAAAAAGCAATTTCTACTTCAGAGACCTTACTTGCAGGAGAGTGAATATTAATACTAAGCAATATTTGGATATGTTTTGTATTTTACAGCTGAAATATGACCATAATAAAAACAGCTGCAGAATTTACCAAATGATACAGTGAACGCAATTCTGTTTTCACATCTAAGTTGATTTAAAGGTCCTTGCAATTAATCAGAGTAATATGCAGCACAGAATCAAGCTTAATGCATGACCGAAGTCAATGACTCTTCTTAAATATATTAAATTTACTCATCATTCATTTTTACATTAGCAAACTTCATTGTGTATTTCCCTGAACAGGATACCTAAAGCTAAAATAATAACTGAAAATAACTCAGAATAAAGCACCAGACCTTACGATACAGAAAGTATTTCGACCCACAGGGTTCACGCTGTTGACTGCGCTCAGTCCACGTGAGACTTGCGGTGGGTCATCGGAAAATAGGGATATTTCCTCCATATCCACTGCCAAGGTCAGGTCACCACGTCTTTCATCGTCCTTCGCCTCCGGGGTTTTGGTGTCTGGGTTCATAATCATCACAGTGTCTCCAAAGTGAACCAGTCCATCGACAGACACTGATAGCTTTACCTAAATTAAAATGGACATAATATTCTGCAGAATCATCTGAACTTAATATCAGAAGTGTTTTTAGCATATGAAGTCCGTAGCATTCTTAATGCATTCTATAATAACAATATGCCAATTGTTATTGAACATGTAACAATATGAACAATAATAAAAGCTATGCCTCTCTATATGGGGTCATGGGACACAACCTTCTTTAAAAATTACCTTCTTCAAAATATTCTCTTGAAGTCTGGCTAATCTCTGCATTAAAAGTTGTCCTCGTTCTCTCCTACTGATAAAATCCCTCAGGAGCTCCTGTTGGCAAAGGAAAGAGAGGCAGACAGCATTATCCGGCACGCAGAATCTCGGGGTTTAAACTGAATTTAAAGCGCTAGGGGGTAACAGCGTGCGGTGTGTGTGGTGGGGGTGTGTGTGTGCTCCGGTACCTCCTGCTCGTGCAGGTCCTCCAGCCAGTTCCCGACTCGCACTCCCCGCCCGTAGGCCGCCATGGCAGGCCCGGCCCCGCGCGTCCCGCGTCGCCATGGCGACCGCGCTGCCCGGTGATTGGCCAACGGGAGCGAGGCTGAGGGAGGGGCGGGCTGAGGGATGCTGAGAGGGATGCTGTGGGATCGCTGGGGTGGGGAAGGAGCTTTGGGATCGTCCAGTCCAACCGTGTGTCTTACACTGCCAGGTCTACACTAAACTATGTTCCCAAGCGCCACATCTGCACGTCTTTTAAACCCCTCCAGGAGTGGTGACTCCACCGCTGCCCTGGGCATCCTGCGCCAGCGCTCGACAACCCTTTCGGTGGATAAATGTTCCCTGATATCCAGTCTGAACCTCACCAGGCGCAACCTGAGGCTGTTTTCTCTTCTCCCATCACTTACTACTCGCGAGAAGAGACCGAAATGTTAACCATCTCTGGTCAGCCGATCTCGGACAAGTAGCCTTTTGCACTCTGTCGAGGAGGTGCATCAGCTTAACATAAGGGAGTTCAATGCGTTATCACTACACTGTTGGTGAATCCTGTCAATCAGAGAATAGTTTGGGTTGGAAGGGACCCTTAAAGATCATCTCTTTCCACCCTTCCTCTGCCATGGGCAGGGGCACCTTCCACTAGTCCAGGTTGCTCAGAGCCCTGTCCACTCTGACCTTGAACGTTTTCAGGGATGGGGCATCCACAACTTCTCTGGGCAACTTGTGCCAGTGTTTTACCACCCTCATTGTAAAAAACTTCTTCCTTCTCTCTAGTGTGAGAGAATGCATTAGGTGAATATTTTGCTTCCAAATGGTTTTGGTTTGTTATTATTTTAGCTTGAAATCTACTATGGCAAGTTAAGCTAAGTGACTGTGCCATGTGTTTACTTTCCAGATATCTTAAGCCAAATATCTTCGGAGAATTCTTGCATAACACATTTAATCCCTTTACAACCGTCATGGTTTTCTTGCAAGCTGTAATATTTCAATGCTGGGCAACTTAGAAAGCTTAAAAGAAAATAGTTTTCGTATGGATGGCTGGGCTACATGTTATCATCAGGTGATTTTGACAGCGATTCACATGAAACCCGGCTTTTTTATGTTGTTTCTTTGTTTTGATTTGGTTTTTTATTTTAAAGCAAAGTTATTACCCCAAAAGTTGTTTAACACATCCCAAACTCTTTAAGGACCAAATACAATCCATTTTTGTTCAAATAGCACCACTCTGTGTTCAGTTCTGGTAAGTGATGCTTTCCTACACCTAGCTGTGCTGGCAGCAATGATAAAAATGTTTAATTAAAAAAAGGAAGAAACTTTGTTCATCTTAGCCAAATATTAAATGCCAAAAAAAAATTTTCTTGTTTCAGAATTAAGCCACTTAAATCAATATTCATTAATAAATCATTGTTAAAAAACTATCATACTTAGACATGTTAAGAACACATGCACTGTCTTGCTGTGCATGTAGCTAATACACAGAATTCACAGCAAAATTCCATAGTTTTGTAGCCTTATTCACCATCTGTACTTAGATATTTATAGGTTCTGATGCAGATATTACATAGAGAGAGGTATTTTTACTAAAATGAATTTGCATACAGAAATATCTCCGCACGTCTCTTAGCAGGATTATGCAGTCACTATCCTTGTCACCTGGAAGAATTTAATTTCTGATTACATAGTATTCCCTGAAAACAAACAAAAATAGCTCTCTATAAACATATTTGCAAATTGAATATCTTTCCTGCAGGAAAAGTTACAGGCCCATTCAAGTCAGTTCAGTTTCCTTTTGAGCAGATAAAATCTGTGTTTACTCCTAACTGTTGATTGCATTATTAAATGGTGTAAAGAAAAGCTGTACTCGTGAAAGAATTGATCTATGTTTTGTGTGTTAGCTTATGCCAGCATACAAATCGACTAGAATTAAGGGTGTATGTCATATTCTGAAAACAGTAGTATTTTTTTTTCTTTTTAAGCCATTGTTAAGTAAAATTATAGTCAGGATACTTTCAGAGGCTCTTCCCTTACTATCTGGAGTTACAGCTCTTTTACCCCTTTTATTTTGTCTTTTTGGTTTTTTAATGAAAGAGAACTAGATGGTTTAGAAGATTCCAAATAGCACGCAGAGCTCTCTAAACCATTAGTTTATGTAAAAGGCTGGACTGGTTGGGCGTTTAAATTGCCTTAAGCTTGTCAGTAATGTGTGGGCTAGAGCATTTTAATACCAAGGCATTTTAAATACTTTAAATTATAAATGCCTTGGTATTTATCAGTAGTACAAATTGTAATATTCAGTCAAATTTGGCTAAAAGGACAAGGTCTACATGGATGTGAATATATATTATGTCCATGAAAGATGTATGCCATTTTATGTAGAGGAAGTAGCAGAGAAAAAATACTAAAAGTAAGTCATGGAATCATGTGCAAGTTGGATAAGAATGTTTTTAATATCTGGCTTTGCTGCCTTGAGAGTGTATCTATTTTTTTTCCTGTTTTCTTTTCTTTTTCCTCTTGAAAATTATGAATATGCCAAATTTGATTAACAATACAGACTAAACAATACTGCGCAGGAGTGAAATGCTCTCTGGGACAATTTGTCTCCTTTCATTTTATTATTTCACAGTAGCACTATTCTGACATATGCTATGAATCATTTTTCTTTGCTCTTATAAGGTTTCTGGCTATTAAAGTGATTAATCTGCTTGTTAATAATATAACCACAGTTTCTTATGCTGACTTATTCCCCAAACACTCATCTGTTCACAGAACAAAACGAATTAAGTAGTTTAGCAAGAAGATTTAAGGATTGTTGTTTTGCCAGACACCTGTGGGGATGTCTCCCATTTTGGCTGTGAATTCAGTGTGAAGGTTTCCTGTAATGCTTGTTGCTGAGGAGCAGTGAACCTGTTCATGGTACCTTATTTTCTGAATTGTAGTGATCCATTAAACAGACCTTTCAGTCTACCATTTGCAAGAAAGGGGAGCAGGATGTTTGTGTGTCATATTGGGAGAATGTAAAGGTTCACTAGTGTAAAGTTTCACTATATTAGATATTGTTAAAGACATCCAGATTTTCTATTATTGCTCATTTTGGTGTTTTATAACCAAAAGTTTCTGCTGAAGAAAGAGGGAAGGGGGGGGGATCATTTACAATGTGTCTAAGACCACCAAATATTTACCAGTTTGGACTGAGTCATCCACATCTCCATGGTATTTTCATTCTACTGGTCTCTACAGATCATTCTCTTTTGAGCAATTATATAATGGAATATTTTCTCTTCAAATTGAGCTGCTCCATCATGACTGATCCTGCCAGCTATTTGAAGATTTCCTCCTCTGCTTGGCTGAATTTCATTCAGGAGATGGGCTTGAAAAACCACTAGAGCTCTGTATCTCTCAGAAAAATATTGTCATTTCAGGAGCAGTAATTTATGAAAAGAATACAGAAATATTAAAGTATATCTCCAAGTAATAACATTGTATTTCTCAGAGAGATCCATATTAACTCTGAATAAGCTAAAACACTTTCATCAGCAAGAAATAGTTCAGCTGAGAACTCTGGTGTTTATGAGTGCAAGCAGAAACACCATTAACAAAGCTCAATTGCTTCTTATGTTTTCACAGGAGAGTGTACTATGTATGCCTACCCTCAGGCAATTTAAAAAATCTTATTTTTCAAGCTGTGGAGTATTTGTCCAAGGTATCATGACCAGAACAGTGAGACTGTCCATGTCATTGGCTAAGGAAAAGTCTCAGCTGACCTCTTTTAAATACTACTTGCCAGGGACCTACTTGAAGAGACTTTGTTAAATGATGTTCTACCCTACTTCCAATATACTGAGTGCACTGCCTGTAATGAACTACAGAGTTCTGTCAGCAGCCACAGGCACTGACACAAAATCATTGTGAGTGAGGCGTGGTCCTATTTATAACGGGTGGAAATCAGGTCACTGTCTCTCTTGGTTACCAATCTGTTTAAACTTTGGTTTCCATGAATACTCATGCTTGAGATTTTGAAATTTGCATTTTGCTAGCAATTTTGTACGTAAAAAGCAAGAGCACGATTGTCTGCAGGGAAAAACATAGCCCTCAACTCCATGACTTCAGCTGACTTTGACTGTGGGGGTTGTTCAGGCATAAAGTCCTGCCAATGTGAACCTACTGCTCCTGAAACTGGGAGGCAACATTTCTGCATGACCTCTTGTGAACCCAAATCCTTCTGTTTCTTCCCACTTTAGGGCTGTCTATAGATAGTGTTTAGGGTTGCCTTTGGTTCCCTTTTTAGCCTTGCCTGCTGCATGATCCTTCTCCTTTATTGTGAATTGCCTATTGGATCAATCATTCCCTGGTGATGTCACTTCTCTCCTTTTGGATTTTACTGCCCTGTGATGATAGTGTTAAAATAGAAAACAGTCTGTTCCCTTAATTTTCCATGGTGGAAATATCTGCTTCAGTGTCTTGAAGCAAAGTAATGATGTATGCTTGAGAGATGCATGTCAGTACATCTTCAAACCTTTGCTAAATTTGTTGTTTAGAAATATATCCCACTGAGCACCCATCAGAAACTCATTTGTGGTAGTTAAGATGGGGAGATAAAGAAATTATAGAGATCAGAATACTTTGGTTCAAATGAATCTGTGTGTTACATAAAATGAACTGTCCAGAAACAGGAACAGAAACTGATTTATATATTCCTACCACTAAACATGAATCAGTTAAATATTTCTGGCACAGCAAAAAGGAACGTGATGAGAATCTTTTGTCCTAAGGGGAAAAGAACATGTGTATTGTAATTGTTTTTAACATTTTCTGCCACCATTCTACTATTTATGGATTTGAGTTGGCTGACCCTACTCTGGCAGTGTATTTATGTCAGACATCACGGCCTACAGAAAGTATTTTATATGTCTGAAGACCCTGGCAACTGTTCTAATTTGAGACTCAGAACATTTTGGTATTTCTATGTCACTATAGGTTAGTAAATTAGGACTTCTTAATTAGGTGGCTTTTCTTTGAGCTGTGGGAGAGCAATGGTATTGACGTTTAATTCTGAGGACTCAACAAATGGAG